GCTTACCTTTCTGGGTGCTTGACCGGGTCGATGGCAGACATAGAATGCTTCCAACCACACGGGGGTTTCTATAGGCCATTGCTCCTCGTGCCTCTCTGAAGGGTCAGGTTCTGGCTCGTGGTCTCCAGTAGGCCCACAGAACTCCATACACATGACTGATGCCAAAGTGTGACATTAGCATATCAGCCTGGATAAGCTCTGGGGGCAACCTGTCCTCTTAAAAAGAACGTCGCTTTTGGCCGTTTGCCCGTATGGCCGAATATGGATGTAATTTGAAAATGAAAAAAAATGAAATTAAATTTGGGATTTTTTTTCAACAACAGTAAATTAAGGGTCCTCTGATAGGTTAGGTGGGCAGGAAATTCTCATCAAGTTTCAAAACGGTATGAAAAACATTAATGGAAAGTTGCCTCTTTTAACCTTGCAGAGTAAGCCGGACGACTCAAACAGAAAACGGAACAGTACATCACTTTTGTGAGTCGATTTCATTTCAAATTACATCCAAATTTGGACATTGCGCACATACGAGCCAAAAGTGACGTTATTTTTAAGAGGACAGGTTGCTGGGGAAGCCACAGGGGCTCCCCCAGAAAGTTAGGATAAAGAACACTGACTGCCCGAAACCAGAGGTGGCCAAGTCATGCACAGGTATAAACAACCAGAATAAAATCACAGATGAAAATATACGCAGATATTATGCAAAAGGAAAGTGCAGATATGGGACCAGAGGCACAGAATGCACATTGATGCATCCCTGAAAATGGCAAAACATGTTAGGGAGGGGTGTCATATGGGAAGAGTGCAGATATTTCCACCCTAAGCTAGGCAAACTCAATGAGAGGAAATGCTATGATCTTCAGTGCCCTGATTTCCATGTGAGAGGTACACAGTGCTATAGAAGATAGCAGGTCCAATATAATAACCCTGGAAGTTTTTAGAGAGAGAGAGAGAGAGAGAGAGAGAGAGAGAGAGAGAGAGAGAGAGTGAGTGAGTGAGTGAGAGAGTGAGAGAGTGAGTGAGTGAGTGAGTGAGTGAGTGAGTGAGTGAGTGAGTGAGTGAGTGAGTGAGTGAGTGAGTGAGTGAGAGAGTGAGTGAGTGAGTGAGTGAGTGAGTGAGAGAGAGAGTGAGAGAGTGAGTGAGTGAGTGAGTGAGTGAGTGAGTGAGTGAGTGAGTGAGTGAGTGAGTGAGTGAGTGAGTGAGTGAGTGAGTGAGTGAGTGAGTGAGTGAGTGAGTGAGTGAGTGAGTGAGTGAGTGAGTGAGTGAGTGAGTGAGTGAGTGAGTGAGTGAGTGAGTGAGTGAGTGAGTGAGTGAGTGAGTGAGTGAGTGAGTGAGTGAGTGAGTGAGTGAGTGAGTGAGTGAGTGAGTGAGTGAGTGAGTGAGTGAGTGAGTGAGTGAGTGAGTGAGTGAGTGAGTGAGTGAGTGAGTGAGTGAGTGAGTGAGTGAGTGAGTGAGTGAGAGAGTGAGTGAGTGAGTGAGTGAGTGAGTGAGTGAGTGAGAGAGTGAGTGAGTGAGTGAGTGAGTGAGTGAGTGAGTGAGTGAGAGTGAGTGAGTGAGTGAGTGAGTGAGTGAGTGAGTGAGTGAGTGAGTGAGTGAGTGAGTGAGTGAGTGAGTGAGTGAGTGAGTGAGTGAGAGAGTGAGTGAGAGAGTGAGTGAGAGAGTGAGTGAGTGAGTGAGTGAGTGAGTGAGTGAGTGAGTGAGTGAGTGAGTGAGTGAGTGAGTGAGTGAGTGAGTGAGTGAGTGAGTGAGTGAGTACGGATGGGGAATACCCAAGACTGGACTACAGTTCGACATCAAGGGCACACATACTACACTCCCCAACTACACACAAACTACCAAAACTGGACGAACCATTGCCAGAACAGCACACCGTGGGTCAGGGTGGAGAGGGGTAGAACTACCAAAACCCTCAGGAAGTGACATGCAATCTGGAAAACCATTCATATTTGCAAACATACGAAGCCTCAAGTCAAAATCAAGAAATAAAGTCAAGTTCATAAATGGCCTCCTGGTAGAGTCAAACTTGATATTTGGGGCATTCATGCAAACTCATAGGAAAGATTACATGGATAGTGAAATCTGGATTCCAAACAATAATTTATATAGATGTAATAGAGAAACTAGGTCAAATGGAGGAGTAGGGCTGTATAATAAAGAGGATCTGGTATGCACAAAGCTACTAAACCCAACCATTGAGGTGGTAGAGGTACTTGGAATCAAGGTAGAAAAAATATACCTAATTATTATTCTAATATATAAATCTCCAGATACAATGACTGAGGAATTCACAGAGCAGATGCACAAAATAAAGAACATCCTTAATAACCTAGCAAACAGAGTTCTAGATGTTATCTTCCTTGGAGACTTAAATCTACCAAGTCTAAGATGGAGAATGGCAAACAAAAATATCATAGCAGGGAACCAACTTGGAAATCATCAACTACAGGTCAGAGAACTTTTGAGATTCTGTGACAAATTCTCGCTCAATCAACAGATTACAGAACCAACCAGGAACGAAAACATGACCTGTTTTTCACAAACAATGTTGAACTAATCAGAGACATTACAATCTCAGATACTACATACTCAGACCATAAGCTCATTCATGTGCAAACTAACATTAATAATGGTAGTAGGTTCAAGAGAACGAACAACGGAGAAGGGATATTCAATCAATTCAATTTCAATAGTAAGAGGATCAACTGGGAAAATAAATACAGTGGCACCTCGACTTACGATTGCCCCTACTTACGATAATTTCGAGTTACGATGTAAATTTCATCGAAAAATGAGACTCGACATCCGATGGTGTTGTCGACTTACGATATTTGTTGATACAATTTCAGGTCGACCGAGCGCGTGGTTCCTGGTCACGCAGCCGCCCTGCCTCAGTTTACTACAGCTACCCGCTTAGTGACGATCGCCCCTATAAGAAATTTCGCTTTTGTGGTGATTTTTTGCATTTTGAACATTAAAGTAATTATTATATATCACGCCATGAGTCCCAGGAAAGTCAGTGGTAAGGCTCAACATATGAGATCCCATGTAAGGATGACCATAGAGCAGAAACAAGAGATCATTCGTAAATATGAAGATGGTGTGCGGGTTGTTGGACTGGCTAGGCAGTACAACAAATCTCAGTCAATGATATCCACCATACTTGCTAAGAAAAAGTACATTATGGGTGCTAAAGTGATGCATCATTACAGACAAATGTCAAAATGAAGGGAAAAACAAATGTCTCTTGACAAATTTGTAGTGAAGCAAACAAGCACTGAACCACAACTAGGTCCTAGTGGTATTCAGGCAAAACGTAGGAGAGAGAGTACCCCAGAGAAAGCATCACTGCCTGATGTGATAATGGAAGGGGACTCCCCTTCCAAACAGTAACAACTCTCCTCCTCCCCCATCACCATCTTCCATATGCCATCATGAGCCCTCCATAAAGGTAAGATAAACTTTGGTACTGTATTGTAGTTAGAAAAAAACATTATATTCAGTATAAAATGTATTTGTATGTTAATATTTTGGAGGGTGGGGAACGGATTAATTCAAATCCCTTTATTTCTTATGGGAAAAATTGCTTCGACTTACGATATTTCGACTTAGGTTCCGTCTCTGGGAACGGATTAGTATCATAAGTCGAGGCCCCATTGTATAGATCTTATCTGGCGGTTATCTTGAGATGATTTTGGGGCTTAACATCTTCACAGCCCAGTCCTGGACCAGGCCTCCACTTTGTTACACTCCCCCCCCCCCCCCCAGGAAGCAGCCCATAGCAGCTGTCTAACTCCCAGGTACCTATTTACTGCTAGGTGAACAAGTGCATCAGGGTGAAAGAAACTCTACCCATTTGTTTCTGCCTCCATCGGGGATCAAACCTAGAACCTTAGGACTACAAATGCCAAGCGCTGTCCACTCAGCTGTCAGGCCCCCTAATATTCAAAGGAAGACAATCTTAACCAACAAAACTCCCACACAGGGAATAGCTCAACTGACAGTTGAAGCTTACAAGATCTGCTTGAAGCATGTGCCTGTGAGGAGAGTCAGAAAGAGGACTGCTCAAGAAAGAGAATGCAGACAACTGTACAGGAGAAGGAAAAAATAATGGAAATGCTTAAGCAGACACAACTGTCACAAGAAAGGAAAATAAACCTAAATAGGGAGATCGAAGAAATAAAGCAAACGTTGAAGCTATCATACGAGTCAGAGGAAATAGAATTGGAACAGAAAGCTATACAAGAAGTAAAGAAAAATCCAAAATATTTGTTCACATATGCAAAATCAAAATCAAAAGCCTCCTCCAGTATTGGACCTTTAATTACAACCGAAGGTACGTACACAGAGGACAGGTTCTTGTCCCGGGTTCTTGCTTGGTGTTCGAACCTGGGGCGTTTTCCGGTTTAACCCCGGTCAATGGCAGACAGGGAATGCTCCCAAACACATGGGGGTTTCCATAAGCCATTGCTCCCTGTGCATCTCTGAGGGGGAGGGGGACAGGTCTGGCACGTGGTTTCCGGAAGGTAGAGCATCATTGACTGAAGCCCCAGACTAATAGAGTGTATATCAGTCCGATAGCTCCAAGGAGCCAAAGGGGCTCGCACAGAAAATGGAGTTTCATTACATTCAATGCTGATTTTTATATCCCAACCCAGTTATTCCCACTATTTACCTGATTACTCCCACTGTTTACCTGGATACTCCTGCCATTTACCCAGATATTCTTGCTGTTTACTTGAAAATAATGCATATAATCTTTTAACCCAAATTCCAAATCAGGTTAAAAAGTCAGGACGTTGAATGCAAATCCTTTTGGGTTACCCGATTATTTTGATTACCAGAACTACTGAGTGCTTGCAGTATGGATTACTGAGTGCTCAAATTAGTTCAGATTACTGAGTGCTTGCAGTACTGTATCTTTGTAGTACAGGTATATATAATTGATACAATTTACTCACCATATACAGTAATTGTCATTCATAATATTCACTTCTCTTTGACAGCATCATGAACTGGAGCGTTTAGCTATACATGAGAGTAAGAATTTAGAAGGGACACAGCGAGCAACTCTTGGTCGATGTCTTGCTGTGATTGGGGAAAGAGATCGTGCCGTGAGACTTCTGCTCGATGCGGATGCTTCAAACCAACACTTCTACACAGACTGCTTACGAGCATGTTTACTTGCTGCAACCCATCACTCCACTCAAGCTCAGTCGACAATCAAACTTGTAGCCACCAACTTGATTGCTGCAGGCAATATATGGGAAGGTGAGTGAACTTCACTAAACAGTACACTGCATGTCTGAAATGATATAGCAGCCAATTCTCATGATTTGATGAGCATAAAATTTGAAGTGGTATTGCCTAATCAAAAGCATATGAACCTAACTTATAGAGGCCAGTGCTTATTACTATTAGTCTGAGGAAGCATCAATATTGCAGTGGATTTAATGTCACTAAAGCATAAAAATATATTGCATTAAGTGCGAGGACAGGTTTGCATAATGTTTTTGAAAATCAGGGCAGTTGATCACACTTCAACAATCATTATAAAATATAAAGGAAATTAAAGGTTAAATAATTAGCTTAAGTAGAGGACAAACATGGAATTGGGTTGGCACTTGTAATTATGTTAACCAAGTCTTTAAGTCTGTATTAACTAATTTGTTTTCTAGGGTACAGTTTAAGTGTGGATGTAGTCTATATTTACATATCTTCTTGTATGTAGGACTCAATCTTGGGCATACTGTATTCACCAATATTTTTTTGTCCTCGAAGTTTTGCTCATGTCATCATACCATTCCATGCATTCAAACTTATTTTACAGTATAAAATTCTTAATTTTCTTTTCATTCAGATATTTTGTGTTTTCTAAATTAATATAATATACATGTTTACTTCAGCCAAGGTAAAGAGATGCTTCACCGTGGTTCAAGAGGCGCAGAAATGCCTCATATTTATTTGACAATCACATTTTATAAAAATCAAATTCATTACTTAGGAATAAGCTTTCCTTGTTCTGTTTTCAAATTTACAAGTGATATAATTATTTATTTAGAATGAATGCTCTTTGGCATTGTTTGCAGGAGTTGAACTGTTGTGTTTGATTGGTAAGGCTGGGGATGCTTGTCGTTATCTGCAGTCCTACAGCCACTGGGAACACTCGGTGTGGCTGGCCAAATGTGCTCTTCCTATGCAGGAATCTGTTGATATCCTTAAACGTTGGGCCCAACACCTCATCACCTCAGGCAACAAGGTAAGTGTTGCTGAAAATACAGGGGTACCTCGGTTTAAGAATTTAATCCATTCCAGGAGATGGTTCGTAACCCAAAAAATTCGTAAACCGAAGCGAATTTCCCCATAAGAAATAATAGGAAATGAATTAATCCGTTCCTGACTCCCCAAAAACTTCACTTCAAAGTAAATTTTATACCTAATTTACCCAAATCTTCACTACAAAAGTATGTTCAAGTTATTACTTACCCTTGCTGATGACTCCTGTTGGCATATGGAAGATGGTGAGGAGGGGGGAGGAGGAGGAGAGGTATTACTGTTTGGAAGGGAAGTCCCCTTCCATTATAACATCTGGCAGTGAAGATTTCTCTGGAGTGCATTCTCTGGCACGTTTTGCTTGCATACCACTAGGTCCTGGTTGTTGCTCACTGCTTGATTTTCTCACAAGGAAATGTTCCATTGAAGATTGTTTTTCCCTTCCTTGCAACACTTGTTTGTAGTGAGGCATCACATTGTCATTGAAAAGATTAATGCAACGGCCTACTACAGCTTTCTCTGGGTGAGTCGTTTCAATAAAAGTTTGCATTTCTTCCCACATTTTACACCACTTCCTAATTGTTGAGGAAGGGACATTCTCTAGTGCCTCATCCTCCTCTGAAGAAATATCGTCAGCTGCCTCTTGCTGCTGCTCCTTTTGAAGGGCATGGAGTTCTTCGGTGGTCAGTTCTTCGTTGTGATCTTCCACCAACTCCTCCACATCAGCACCATCAAACTTTGGTCAATAAGACAAGACCTCTCAAAAGAGGACAGAGAAAAGCTGAAAATGAACCTCATTGAAGCAGAATGTCTAAATGGGGATAGAAATGAAGAAGAAAGGAAATCTTTTTTCTACAAAGTGTTAGGGACTGGAAAGCTTGTGAAATGGTACATAAAGACAAAGCAACAAAATCATTAAAGGATGGAGGTGTAAAGAACAAAGGGAAGGGGATCATATTACTGAAAGTAGTATATACCAACATAGATGGAGTGAGATAAAAAATATTGTAGTTGAAGAATATAATTCAGCTCAAAGTCCCAGATATTGCCGCATTAACAGAGACGAAACTTGAAGAAAATATTTTAAATGAGGTCGTATTCCCATGGGGCTACTCAGTTTGGAGACGTGACAGGAACACTAGGAAGGGGGGAGGAGTGACTGTGCTGGTGAAAGAACACCTGAAGGTAAGAGAATTAATATTTGAAAACCCTCGAGATATTGACATAATGGCATTGCAGCTCTGGAATCAAGATGATAAGCTGATAATTTTAAATGCCTACAGTCCACCAGCAAGCAACACATGGACAAAGAAAGAACTGGATGACAAACGAGAGGGCCTCATAATGGTCATAAGAGAGATTATGGTAAGAGCTGACAAAGATTAATCCCGATTGTAAGTACTGGGGGACTTCAACTTTAAGGCAATAGACTGGAAGGCCTACGAGGCAAGAACAGAGGACATTTGGACAGGCAGATTTGTAAACCTCATCTTGGAGACATTCATGTATCAACACGTCAAGCAGGCCACAAGAATGAGGGAAAGGGATGTTCCGTCAGTACTGGATCTATTATTCACCAGGAAAGAAGAGGAGCTATTTGACATCCAGTACCTTCCTCCCTTGGGAAAGATGATCACGTCCTCTTGGACATTAAATGCGCTATGCGATATAATCTAGTAGAGAATGGGGACAGTGAAACAGTTGTTAAACTCGATTTCAAGAGAGGACGCTATGGGGAACTTAGAAATTTTTTTTTCATGGGTAAAATTGGACAGACTTGTTGCTAGGCAAAGAAGTAAATGAGATGTATGCCAAATTTTGCAAAATATGCGATGAAGGCACACCAACATTCATACCAAAACAGACATGCAGACCTAGGAAACAGGGTTGGTTCAACAGAAATTGCGAGAGGGCCAGATATCAAAAGACTCAAAATATCCAGATATCCAGATATCAATAGGCATGGAATCATTATAGAAAGAGACCAAACCCCTAAACATATCAGCGATAAAAAGATTCAAGAAACAACTACACGTCAGTAAGGAGAGAGGCAGAAAGGAACTTTGAGAATGATATAGCAGATAAATGTAAATTAGATCCAGGCCTTTTCTATAAATTCATTAAAAAGCAAGCTTCAGGTAAAGGATAATATTCAGAGGTTGAAAATGGGGGACAGATACACAGAAAATGAAAAGGAAATGTGTGAAACATTAAACAAAAAGTGCCAAAGTGTGTTTGTACAAGATGAGATCTTCAGAGAACCAGACACAATAAGAATTCCTGAGAACAGCATAGAGCACATAGAGGTGTCTAGAGACGAAGTGAAACAAATGCTCCTGGAGCTAAGTAAGAACAAAGCAGTTGGCCCAGATGGAATTTCACCATGGGTTCTGAGAGAATGTGTACCTGAGCTCAGCATTCCACTTCAGTTGTTTTATCAGACATCCCTGTGTACAGGAGTCGTAGCAGATATGTGGAAAAAAGGCTAACATAATTCCAATCTACAAAAGTGGCAGCAGGGAATTGTTCTACCCCTTCAATTATAGACCTGTATCATTGACAAGTGTAATAGTCAAAATATTGGAAAAAATAATAAAAACTAAATGGGTAGAACACCTGGAGACAAAATTATATTATATCAAACAGACAGTATGGTTTTCAATCTGGAAGATCCCGTGTATCGAATTTATAGAGTTTCTATGATCGAGCCACAGAGATTTTGCAGGAAAGAGATGGTTGGGTTGACTGCATCTATTTGGACCTAAAAAAGGCTTTTGACAGAGTTCCACATAAGAGTCTGGAAACCTTTCTGGAAAACTGGAAAAAACCTGGTTTCCTTTCTGGAAACTGGAAAATATTGGAGGGGTGACAGGTAAACTTCTAACATGGATGAAAAATTTTCTGACTGAAAAATAAGGGCAGTAATCAGAGGCAAAGTATCGGACTGGAGAAATGTCACAAGTGGAGTACCACAGGGTTCAGTTCTTGCACCCGTGATGTTCATTGTCTACATAAATGATCTGCCAGATGGTATACAGAATTATATGAACATGTTTGCTGATGATGCTAAGATAATAGGAAGGATAAAAAACTTAGATGATTGTCATGCCCTTCAAGAAGACCTGAACAAAATAAGTATATGGAGCACCACTTGGGAAATGGAATTTAATGTGAATAAATGCCATGTTATGGAATGTGGAACATAGACCCCACACAACCTATAAATTATGTGAGAAATCTTTAGAGAATTCTGATAAAGAAAGAGATCTAGGGGTGGTTCTAGATAGAAAACTATCACCTGAGGACCACATAAAGAATTTGCTACAAGCCTATGCTACGCTTTCTAACTTCAGAATTGCTTTTAAATACACGCCCGAAACGCTTTGCGTAATAGTGGCTTTAGGCATTGTATGTACTAGCTCTATCTATAAATCCATCAATGTTTGTATCTCACCTTGTATGTATGTACTTTACCTGAATAAACATTTGATTTGATTTAATTTGATTTGATTTGATTTGACATGGATAAATAAATACTAAAAAAATTGTTCACGACTTTTGTTAGGCCAAAGCTAGAATATGAAGTGGTTGTGTGGTGCCCATATCTTAAGAAGCTCATCAACAAACTGGAAAAGTGCAAAGATATGCTACTAAGTGGCTCCCAGAACTGAACGGCAAGAGCTATGAGGAGAGGTTAGAGGCATTAAATATGCCAAAACTAGAAGACAGAAGAAAAAGAGGGGATATGATCACTACTTACAAAATAGTAACAGGAATTGACAAAATTGATAGGGCAGATTTCCTGAGACCTGGAACTTGAAGAACAAGAGGTCATAGATTTAAACTAACTAAAGAATGATGCCGAAGAAATATAAGAAAATTCACTTTCGCAAACAGAGTTTGCCGTTGGAACAAGTTAGGGGAGAAGGTGGTGGAGGCCAAAACCGTCAGTAGTTTCAAAGCGTTATATGACAGAGTGCTAGGAAGATGGGACACCACGAGCGTAGCTCTCATCCTGTAACTACACTTAGGTAATTATACTTAGTTAATTACCAGTAGATTGACAGTTGAGAGGCGTGACCAAAAGGCCAAAGCTCAAACCCTGCAAGCACAACTAGGTGAGTACAAGGTTTCCCTTTTTAAATACAGCATCTGAGATGATATGAGTGGAATTTGGGAATCTGAGATAAATTCAACAGCATCAAAGCAGGCAACTGCTTGAAAACATAATAGTTACCCCTGATGAAAATAAGGCAAACAGTGATTACCTATTGGGCTGCCACCAGTCTGTTAAGCTTTACACATCACATAGTTACTGGACATTTTCATTCATTACTCAACTGTTGATTTTTGCTCTCCCCAAGTCCACTGGTGCTGTAACTATTGGATCACTGGTGCCATACATACAGTGTCACTGATAATTACCTAAGTGTAGTTACAGAATGAGAGTTATGCTTGTGGTGTCCCATCTTCCCAGCACTCTTTGTCATATAATGCTGCTGTAACTATGGGGGTCACTTTTGTTGTAACTACTGTACAGGGTCACTAGAGTGAGATCTTGATCTTTACATCTCACCTCCTACCTATAAATACCTGCTGTGCTAATTACCTCTCTCAACAGTACAGTTTTCATCATATTTTTTCTTCAAGTTGTGTTCATAAGTGTCACAATTTCTGTATTTCAGGACCAAGGTGTATGCGCATTGCTATCTGTGGGTAGTATAACAGCAGCACTAGAACAGCTTGTACAGCAGCATTACCACCAGAGAGCAGCTTTATTGCTTGCAGCTGCTCAACAGCTTCAAGTTTTGCCCAGCTCACAGCAACAGCAGCAGCCATCAGCTGGATCTTTGGGTTCACACTCAGGGTTCTCTCCAGTTCTTTCTGGTGCAGCTTCCATGGCTTCTTTTGCTGAAAACATTCATAGGTAAAGTATAACATAATTCTTATTTAATAACAGTAGATACATAGTATATACTACCTTTTACAGTATACAGTATCCACTCAATTTAACGGCCTCTTTTATACCGATCCGATCTGCGGTAATAATGACCGGTTTGGGAGACTGGTATCTAGAGCCTCAAATACCGGTCTGGCAGTCGATATTATCGAAGGTCGGTATTGGGTTTGTTTTGACATCAGGGGGTCCTCACAATGCAAGCAGGCCACCTACCTTTATCATCCCCTTCCTCACACTCGTCCTCACTGAACCTCTTCCCCTCTCCCTCACTCCTGCTCTCTCCTACACCCTCACTTTCTGCCCCCGCCCCCCAATGGCTCAGTAGATAGCCAGCCAGAGACAGTCTGGAGAATCTCCATCTAATACAATAAAGCATTCATGAAACAAGTATTTTATAACTTTTTATTATCCTAATAATATTACTAAACAAAATCCGTAACCAAAAATATATATGATGATGTACATCCAAAATTTAAGAAACAAATCTTTTTAACTGGGTCAAGTGAGTTAGGCTTATCAGTGAGCCAGTCCCTTCCCCACCACCGACACCCGTCCCCCACCCGCCTCCCCATACACCCCATACTCTCTGCTTCACCTTAACTCAACACCCATCCCTCCTTCCCTCCCTCCATCTCTCCCTCCATCCCTCTCTCCCTCCATCCCTCTCTCCCTCCATCCCTCTCTCCCTCCATCCCTCTCTCCCTCCATCCCTCTCTCCCTCCCTCCCTCTCTCCCTCCATCCCTCTCTCCCTCCTCCCTCCATCCCTCTCTCCCTCCATCCCTCTCTCCCTCCCTCCCTCTCCTCCCTCCATCCCTCCCTCCCTCCCTCCCTCCCTCCCCTCCATCCCCCCTCCCTCCCTCCCTCTCCCCCCCTCCCTCCCCTCCCCCCCTCCCTCCCTCCCTCCCTCCCTCCCTCCCTCCCTCCCCTCTCCCTTCCCCCCTCCCTCCCCTCCCTCCATCCATTCCTCCCTCCCCTCCCCTCCATCCCTCCTCCCTCCCTCCCCTCCATCCATTCCTCCCTCCCTCCCTCCCCTCCCTCCCTCCCCCCCTCCCTCCCTCCCTCCCCTCCCTCCCTCCCTCCCTCCCTCCCCTCCCTCCCTCCCCTCCCTCCCCTCCATCCATCCATTCCTCCCTCCCTCCCCTCCCTCCATTCCTCCATCCATCCCTCCCTCCCTCCCCTCCATCCATTCCTCCCTCCCTCCCCTCCATCCATTCCTCCCTCCCTCTCCTCCATCCATCCCTCCCTCCCTCCATCCATCCATCCTCCCTCCTCCCTCCTCCACATTCCATCCATCCATCCATCCATCCATCCATTCATCCATCCATCCATCCATCCATCCATCCATCCATCCATCCATCCATCCATCCATCCATCCATCCATCCATCCATCCATCCCTTCATCCCTCCATCCATCCCTCCGTCCCTCCATCCATCCCTCCCTCCTTCCCTCCCATCCATCCCTCAATCCCTCCTTCCATCCCTCCTTCCATCCATCCTTCCATCCATCTCCATCCTCTCCCTCCCAGCATACCTCCCAGCCTCTGCCTGCCTACCTCCTTCCCTGCATCCCTCTGAAGCTCTGCCTGCCTGCCTCCCTCCCTGCATCCCTCTGAAGCTCTGCCTGCCTGCCTCCCTCCCTGCCTACCTCTGAAGCTCTGCCTGCCTGCCTCCCTCCCTGCCTACCTCTCAGTCTCTTCCTGCCTGCCTCCCTCCCTCCCTGCCTACCTCTCAGTCTCTTCCTGCCTGCCTGCCTACATTTCAGCCTCTCCATCCCTGTCTGCCTGCCCATCCACCCATCAGCCATCAGTGACACAATGAGTGCATTTGGAGCTGACATGATGCACAGATGTTCCTTTATTGCGCAGATATGTCCAACAAAGTCACGGAATGAACACTCCAGCCTCTTGACAAATCAAAACACTGTGCCGTGAATATGTGACGTCACAGGGTAGAAGGCACTAGTGGTGGATGCAGTGGCTGTCTGTACAAAATATATCTTACCTGAATGTTACTTGAAAAATTACCGACACTTCGGAAATACCGAAGCTCCGGAAATAACGACCAGGGTACAGCCCCATATAGGCCGTTAAATCAAGTAGATACTGTATACAATTCTAAATTAATAGTTAATTTTCTCGTGTTTTAGTTGAACAATTTGCATCCGAGACATTTCTCAGTGAGTGTGAAATTTCTCTGAATGAGTGTAAAGATTATATATTTGTTGTTTGCCATCTCTGGCTGCCCAGGTGGAAGCGTCTTTTGCAAAGGGTTTGAATGGATTTTGTTATATGAAAAGTGGAAACTCGGTTTACAAATGCCCCTCTTTTCGAATTTTTCAGTATACAAGGTAAATTTCGTCATAAAATTTCACTCGGTATATGAGGTTTGTTATGGAGTTTGAATTTGCTGATACTGTACATGTATGAATTGACGGGCACTTGAGTTCTGCTGGTCGTGGAGCAAGGAACAATTAGTTTACCAGTGTATTCTGCCTAGTGACAACCGTGCTTGAATTCTTTGTTAAGCATTTCATTGTTTTTCTGCTTTCCTGAGGGGGAGCCCCTTTGGCTCCCTGGAGCTATCGGGCTAATATGCGATATATTAGTCTAGGGCATTAGTTAATGGAGTTCAACCTACCGGGGACCACGAGCCAGAATCTGGCCTCCTGAGAGAGGCACTGGCAGCAATGGCCTCTGGAAAACTCCCCTGTGGTTGGGGCATTCCTTATCTGCTATCGACCAGGGTTTGGCACCCAGAAAGGTAGGCATAACAAAACACACCCACTTGGAAAGAAAATTGCATCAGAAGACCAACTAGGGAGGCAGAACTCCCCCAATTCTCATGGAAACGGGCAAACAAGCAAACATCATACACCACCACTACACCGCTTGTCCACGCAGCCCTCCCCTTCCTGGGAGGGACGCGGTGAAGCCCCGGACCCACCGAACCGGACAATCAACCCCAGTTCATTGGCTAATATGATCTCTGGTGGCCATCAACTCTGGCCTCGATTTCTTGGCAGTGTTTTGACTTAGTTGTGTTTCCTGTTCTGTTGTAGTGGTGGTGGCCAGGTATACTGGCCATATCAGTGTACTGAGACTGCATGCATTTAGGGCTAACTTCCCTAAGCGCCCTGTAAGTATTACCCCTGGGTGCTAGGGGTACCCAAGGGTAGCATAGTAGTCTTCATAGCATAGCATCTTCCATAGTACCTTCGGGACTCCACTTCCAATAGGGTTCTTGCTGCTTGGTATTTACCCCATTCTTGGGGCCAATTGGGGTTTCGTGGCCTTCCTTCCTTGGGAAGGAAATGGTGTTGTTGCTGGTTGGGGCACAACCTGTTGCGCAGGTTGCCTACCTGCAAAGCGGCCATGTTCCTGTTTCCTCTGGGGACGTACTTTTGCAAGGTTTTTCTTTTATTTTTGTTTTCTTTGCCTGGTGGGGGTCTGCCTTGTTTGGCTATTGGTCCACTCCTGATATTTTGGTGACCCTCCACTAGGCCCCTGTGATTGTATACATCACAGGGGTTTCAGTGTTTTAGCTCATCCTCCTTGTTTAACTGGTTTTGGGTTTAACTGGTTTTGCAGCACAGTCCCTGGGCTTCCCATAGCAGTCAGCCTATGGGTTTTGGAAAACCTTGTCGGGACTCGGTGGACCGATGGATGCTTCTTCCGGGTTCCAGCTTGCCTTGGGCGAGATTAAAGGTTGCTGTGTGTCCTTGTCTCAAGGTGACAGTCATCAGTTTTGCCTCCATCATGCTGTCTGTTGGGTCACTGACACCTTTGAGATTCAGGTACAGAACATCAGTGTTGCATGCTAGGTTTAGGTTGCTGCAATGGGCTAGGTTGGTTGCCCACTCAGATGCACCGAGGTTGCCCCAATTTGGTTATAGGGACCCCGAACTTGGGGTGTTAGTCACTTCTACTTTGGTCAGTCTGCACTCCCCAATCCTTCCCCGGTTGATGTTATTTGTCCAGCTCCCTCTCCCCCTTTCCCCTGCTCCCGGCTCCCAAACGTCTGAGGGTTTCGGAGTCAGGGCAGGGTTTAGCTGGTGATGAGACTCGGTCAGCTATGAGGGCTGCGCCATTCGGGGTGGGGACAAAGGCATTCGAACTTGCTCCTCCTTCCGAGGCTTCTGGGTCCCACTAGCCGACCCTTTACTTAGCAGATTTACCTAGGGGACAAGTTTGAGCGCAATAACACCTTCCTTGTTCACCCCTGTGCTTCCTCGAAATGTTGGCCTTGTGCAGCTGCATGCGCAGGTTCCCACCCTTTCGGCATCTTTGGTAGCTGAGGATTCGCGCACACTAGAGGATTTAACTTCCGCGAGTCGAGGCTGTGACTCGACGTAGCCATGGGCATTTGGCTTTAGTTTTGAGCTTCTTTTCCCTTCTCGAGCTGTCCTCTGACTGTCTTGGGGAGGATGTGGAGGCGCTAAGTGCCGGACCTTCATCTGGTGCGCTGGCCTCAGTGGCTCGGGCGTAAGCCACACTGTTATAGTTGTTTGCGGCAATTCTCAGGGAGGCAGTGTCTCTGTTCTTTGCTTCTCATCTTGCGTGCCGCTAGACTGTGCTCGCTTTCTCTTTGGAATTCACTGTAGGCATGGCTCCTAGGTTTTCGTCGCCCTTTTGTCAGTTGCTGTTTGCGGAGACTACTGTCATGTAGTTATTGCAGGCGGCTTTGTCTAGTTGTTGTCCTATGTCGGACTTGTTGCTTCTTCGGTGGGGCTGTTCTCGGCCTTCTCAGGAAGGTCGTGGTGGGTTCAGGGTTTTTTCAGTCAAGGTGGGGCCATTGATGCTAGCTTCTGAGCCAGGGCTTCCTTCAGAGCTGGCATCATCTGGTCGAAATAGTGATCGTTCAGCTTGTCGGCCGGCTGCTCGTAAGAGGCGTCGGCCCTTTTGCGGGTCACCCAGTTGATGGGGCGAGGGGGGGGGGAAGCTCATGCTGTTTGCTTATGCTTTGTCCCATGATTCGTGGGCGTTTCGGGTCGTCTCCTCTGGCCTGTGGTGGGGCATAAGGGTTACCGCTTTCATTGCCTTCCATTCGGCTTGAATCTGGCTCGCTTTTTCACACGCCTTACACAGGTCGTGGTGACCCGTATGGGTCTGTTAGGGGTTCAGGTTCTGGCTTACCTCGACGACTGGCTGGTCTGGGTTCCCAGCCAGTCCGCGTGTCTGCTCACCAGGGATTTGCTTCTTTCCCAGCTTGCTGAGTTCGGGTTCCTGGTGAACTTACAAAGTCCCATCTGGTTCCCTCTCAGGTTTTGGGCTTGGCTGGGTCTTGTGTGGGACCCTCGGACTGCTTCCTTGTCTCTCCTTCCTATGGCATTGCTGTGGCTGCGGTCCCACCTTCGGCTGTTTTTGAGGGGTTGGGCACCTGGGCTACTCGTTAGTTGCTCGAGCAACTGTGTAGGAGTTTGAACTTCGCTGTGCTGATCTACCCATTGGGTCGAATCTGGCTTCAGTGGCGGTTCCTCCAGGAATGTCCCTTCTGCCACTGTCTGCCACTGTCATGATCACTGGTTTTGGGGGGGGGGGGCCTTGCATTGGCTGCTACGTTGTCTGCTTCCTCTTTGGGTTTTCAGGGTTCAGTGCTGAAGCACCTACCCAAGCTCAATGTGTTCACAGATGCATCATCTCTTGGCTGGGGCTTTGTGACCAGTGCTCACCAGGCCGGCCAGGGGCGGTGGAGTCCGTCCGTCCTGTCGGGCTCACAGCAAGGTGCAGGAGTTCGCAGCTGTGTGACATTCACTTCAGAGGGTTCACCTCGCTCGCGGATCGACAATCCGGCTCAACTTGGACTGCTCCCCGGTGGTTCATTGTCTGAACCGCGGGGGTATGACTCATTCCTTTGGCTCTGACGGACATTTGGGGACCCGGAGATGGACCTCTTCACGTCAGCGTGGACAAGGTCCTCCGGTATATGCAGCGCCCTTCCCCGACTGCGAGTCCATCAGTGTCGATGCCTTTCGACTGGACTGGTTGAGGTGGGGGTTACCTGTTCCTCCCCCCCCCCCCGCCCTGCCCCCCTCCCCCGGTTTAGTTGTTGCTCCAGGACCTGGCTCATTTGGAGATTTGTCACGGGGCAGTAGTCCTGTTGGCCCCTTGGTATTCGAACCAGAGGATCTTCCCACGGCTCCGCCTCGATCTTCTCTTTAATCTTCGCATCTGGTCTTTTTGACATGGTGTTTATCACCACTTGTATGGTGATCAGGTGACTTTGTTGATGATGTCCCATCTGCCAGTTTTGTCTTGGCGGCAGTACGAAGTTTCCTGCTGGACCTTTCGGCACTTCTTAACTCTTCATAGGTTGTCTTCGATTTCTGATCGGGTTGTTTCGTCCTTTTTCTCTTGGTTGTTTCAGGACTGTCATCTTATGCCAGGAAGTTTACAAACTGTTCTTTTTGGGCCACACTTGTGCCAGGGAGATAATATGACATACTCCAGTCAAGGATGCAACCAGAGTTTGCATTCACATAAAATTTAAATGGCCTATTAGGTTGCCAAGCAACTGATGCAATGAGGCAGCACGGACACAACAAAGCCTCTTGACATAAGATCCTCATATTCTGCTTGTCCCGCAGGTTAGGAAAAAGGCACTACCAAACACAAGGAAGATAAGAAAAAAATAGGGGAATAAAAGAAAGCAAGTGTTCTCTTTGGAAAAGTGTTTTTCAAATATTCTCAAAAACTGATTTCTAAGCTGTCCCACTTGGTAACTCACTACATCAAGTAATGGTGGAAACTACGAGAGCAAATATAGAAGTGTGACACATGCGGTAAAGAGTGGTGTTCAAGGAGCAATTATTAGGACAAAGCAGCAATTAATGAAATGACAGCTTTGCTCCTTACAACCTGACCCCCAAAATCCACGTTACATCAGGTATTTCGTTCAATCCGTGAACGAAAACCCCTTCTCACATGGCCAAAAAAAAAAAACTCCCACAGGGCAAACCCCCTCCCAAATGGCCAAATTATTATTATATATATTATATATATTAAATACATACATACTGTGTGTTTGTGTTTTTTCTTCATTTTTTGGAAATCATATTACCTACTTGCCAGGAATATTCTACCTTGTTAACACAATTTCTATTTTAGTAAACAAGGCTATATAAAACATATGCAGTATCAAGGTAATGTTTAATAAATGCTATGATTAGTTTCACATTTGTATGTGTGTGTGTTTCAGGAAGTATGTCCTACATCTGTTCAGCCTGGGAAACAGACCGGCTGTGACGTATATCTGTGGTTTAATGGGAGAAAAGGGACAGAGTCTGCTACAGGAGTTGGACTCACTACAGTAGATCAGGACCTCTCACTTACCTCCTCTATATACAACTCCTGTATATACAACTCTCATTCCAGGTACAATGTGATATATATAGAAGAGAACATAAAAACCTTCTATGAAAAAATTCCTTCTATGGTTATGGTATTTTAAATTGAACTGGAAAGAATTAAAATTCATTTTAAACAGATTTAAATTAAATGGATTGCTGACATCTAAACAGTACACACTTTGGTTTTAAATACTGTATACACACACCACACTCATGCATATATCAGTCACCACAGACACCCACACCCAGGCCTACACCACTGTGGACACCAACACCCAGGCCTACACCACTGTGGACACCCACACCCAGGCCTACACCACTGTGGACACCAACACCCAGGCCTACACCACTGTGGACACCCACACCCAGGCCTACATCACTGTGGACACCCACACCCAGGCCTACATCACTGTGGACACCCACACCCAGGCCTACACCACTGTGGACACCCACACCCAGGCCTACACCACTGTGGACACCAACACCCAGGCCTACACCACTGTGGACACCAACACCCAGGCCTACACCACTGTGGACACCAACACCCAGGCCTACACCACTGTGGACACCAACACCCAGGCCTACACCACTGTGGACACCAACACCCAGGCCTACACCACTGTGGACACCAACACCCAGGCCTACACCATGGTGGACACCAACACCCAGGCCTACACCACTGTGGACACCCACACCCAGGCCTACACCACTGTGGACACCCACACCCAGGCCTACACCACTGTGGACACCAACACCCAGGCCTACATCACTGTGGACACCAACACCCAGGCCTACATCACTGTGGACACCCACACACCCAGGCCTACACCACTGTGGACACCAACACCCAGGCCTACACCACTGTGGACACCCACACCCAAGCCTACACCACTGTGGACACCCACACACCCAGGCCTACATCACTGTGGACACCAACACCCAGGCCTACACCACTGTGGACACCCACACCTAGGCCTACACCACTGTGGACACCAACACCCAGGCCTACACCACTGTGGACACCCACACCCAGGCCTACACCACTGTGGACACCCACACCCAGGCCTACACCACTGTGGACACCAACACCCAGGCCTACATCACTGTGGACACCAACACCCAGGCCTACATCACTGTGGACACCCACACCCAGGCCTACACCACTGTGGACACCCACACCCAGGCCTACACCACTGTGGACACCCACACACCCAGGCCTACATCACTGTGGACACCCACACCCAGGCCTACACCACTGTGGACACCCACACCCAGGCCTACACCACTGTGGACACCCACACCCAGGCCTACACCACTGTGGACACCCACACCCAGGCCTACACCACTGTGGACACCCACGCCTACACCACTGTGGACACCCACACACCCAGGCCTACATCACTGTGGACACCCACACCCAGGCCTACATCACTGTGGACACCCACACCCAGGCCTACACCACTGTGGACACCCACACCCAGGCCTACACCACTGTGGACACCCACACACCCAGGCCTACATCACTGTGGACACCCACACCCAGACCTACATCACTGTGGACACCCACACCCAGGCCTACACCACTGTGGACACCCACACCCAGGCCTACACCACTGTAGACACCCACACCCAGGCCTACATCACTGTGGACACCCACACTCAGGCCTACACCACTGTGGACACCCACACCCAGGCCTACACCACTGTGGACACCAACACCCAGGCCTACACCACTGTGGACACCAACACCCAGGCCTACACCACTGTGGACACCCACACCCAAGCCTACACCACTGTGGACACCCACACACCCAGGCCTACATCACTGTGGACACCAACACCCAGGCCTACACCACTGTGGACACCCACACCCAGGCCTACACCACTGTGGACACCCACACCCAGGCCTACACCACTGTGGACACCAACACCCAGGCCTACATCACTGTGGACACCAACACCCAGGCCTACACCACTGTGGACACCAACACCCAGGCCTACATCACTGTGGACACCCACACCCAGGCCTACATCACTGTGGACACACATACCCAGGCCTACACCACTGTGGACACCAACACCCAGGCCTACATCACTGTGGACACCCACACCCAGGCCTACACCACTGTGGACACCCACACCCAGGCCTACACCACTGTGGACACCCACACCCAGGCCTACACCACTGTGGACACCCACACCCAGGCCTACACCACTGTGGACACCCACACCCAGGCCTACATCACTGTGGACACCCACACCCAGGCCTACACCACTGTGGACACCCACACCCAGGCCTACACCACTGTGGACACCCACACCCAGGCCTACACCACTGTGGACACCCACACCCAGGCCTACACCACTGTGGACACCCACACACCCAGGCCTACACCACTGTGGACACCCACACCCAGGCCTACACCACTGTGGACACCAACACCCAGGCCTACACCACTGTGGACACCAACACCCAGGCCTACACCACTGTGGACACCAACACCCAGGCCTACACCACTGTGGACACCAACACCCAGGCCTACACCACTGTGGACACCAACACCCAGGCCTACACCACTGTGGACACCAACACCCAGGCCTACACCATGGTGGACACCAACACCCAGGCCTACACCACTGTGGACACCCACACCCAGGCCTACACCACTGTGGACACCCACACCCAGGCCTACACCACTGTGGACACCAACACCCAGGCCTACATCACTGTGGACACCAACACCCAGGCCTACATCACTGTGGACACCCACACACCCAGGCCTACACCACTGTGGACACCAACACCCAGGCCTACACCACTGTGGACACCCACACCCAAGCCTACACCACTGTGGACACCCACACACCCAGGCCTACATCACTGTGGACACCAACACCCAGGCCTACACCACTGTGGACACCCACACCTAGGCCTACACCACTGTGGACACCAACACCCAGGCCTACACCACTGTGGACACCCACACCCAGGCCTACACTGTGGACACCCACACCCAGGCCTACACCACTGTGGACACCAACACCCAGGCCTACATCACTGTGGACACCAACACCCAGGCCTACATCACTGTGGACACCCACACCCAGGCCTACACCACTGTGGACACCCACACCCAGGCCTACACCACTGTGGACACCCACACACCCAGGCCTACATCACTGTGGACACCCACACCCAGGCCTACACCACTGTGGACACCCACACCCAGGCCTACACCACTGTGGACACCCACACCCAGGCCTACACCACTGTGGACACCCACACCCAGGCCTACACCACTGTGGACACCCACACCCAGGCCTACACCACTGTGGACACCCACGCCTACACCACTGTGGACACCCACACACCCAGGCCTACATCACTGTGGACACCCACACCCAGGCCTACATCACTGTGGACACCCACACCCAGGCCTACACCACTGTGGACACCCACACCCAGGCCTACACCACTGTGGACACCCACACACCCAGGCCTACATCACTGTGGACACCCACACCCAGGCCTACATCACTGTGGACACCCACACCCAGGCCTACACCACTGTGGACACCCACACCCAGGCCTACACCACTGTAGACACCCACACCCAGGCCTACATCACTGTGGACACCCACACTCAGGCCTACACCACTGTGGACACCCACACCCAGGCCTACACCACTGTGGACACCAACACCCAGGCCTACACCACTGTGGACACCAACACCCAGGCCTACACCACTGTGGACACCCACACCCAAGCCTACACCACTGTGGACACCCACACACCCAGGCCTACACCACTGTGGACACCAACACCCAGGCCTACACCACTGTGGACACCAACACCCAGGCCTACACCACTGTGGACACCCACACCCAGGCCTACACCACTGTGGACACCCACACCCAGGCCTACACCACTGTGGACACCAACACCCAGGCCTACATCACTGTGGACACCAACACCCAGGCCTACACCACTGTGGACACCAACACCCAGGCCTACATCACTGTGGACACCCACACCCAGGCCTACATCACTGTGGACACACATACCCAGGCCTACACCACTGTGGACACCAACACCCAGGCCTACATCACTGTGGACACCCACACCCAGGCCTACACCACTGTGGACACCCACACCCAGGCCTACACCACTGTGGACACCCACACCCAGGCCTACACCACTGTGGACACCCACACCCAGGCCTACACCACTGTGGACACCCACACCCAGGCCTACATCACTGTGGACACCCACACCCAGGCCTACACCACTGTGGACACCCACACCCAGGCCTACACCACTGTGGACACCCACACCCAGGCCTACACCACTGTGGACACCCACACCCAGGCCTACACCACTGTGGACACCCACACACCCAGGCCTACATCACTGTGGACACCCACACCCAGGCCTACATCACTCTGGACAACCACACCCAGGCCTACACCACTGTGGACACCCACACCCAGGCCTACACCACTGTGGACACCCACACACCCAGGCCTACACCACTGTGGACACCCACACACCCAGGCCTACATCACTGTGGACACCCACACCCAGGCCTACATCACTGTGGACACCCACACCCAGGCCTACACCACTGTGGACACCCACACCCAGGCCTACACCACTGTGGACACCAACACCCAGGCCTACACCACTGTGGACACCCACACCCAGGCCTACACCACTGTGGACACCAACACCCAGGCCTACATCACTGTGAACACCCACACCCAGGCCTACACCACTGTGGACACCAACACCCAGGCCTACACCACTGTGGACACCCACACCCAGGCCTACACCACTGTGGACACACATACCCAGGCCTACATCACTGTGGACACCAACTCCCAGGCCTACATCACTGTGGACACCAACACCTAGGCCTACACCACTGTGGACACCCACACCCAGGCCTACACCACTGTGGACACCCACACCCAGGCCTACATCACTGTGGACACCAACACCTAGGCCTACACCACTGTGGACACACATACCCAGGCCTACATCACTGTGGACACCAACACCCAGGCCTACATCACTGTGGACACCCACACCCAGGCCTACATCACTGTGGACACCAACACCCAGGCCTACATCACTGTGGACACCCACACCCAGGCCTACACCACTGTGGACACCCACACCCAGGCCTACACCACTGTGGACACCCACACCCAGGCCTACACCACTGTGGACACACATACCCAGGCCTACACCACTGTGGACACCCACACCCAGGCCTACATCACTGTGGACACCCACACCCAGGCCT